CGCAGTATATTTTTTTAATAACAAAATAAAGTTGTTATTAAAATTAAAAATTAAATGCCAACACCTGGCAACTATTTTAAAAGAATAAATATATTAAGTAGTAAGACAAGTGAGGCTTGAGTTTCAAGCGGGAAACTCTCTGAAAATAAATCCTACTAAATTGGTCATTTGCCAAATAAGTTGCCCGTGTTAAACGTTGCTTGACCTCATAATTTTACAATGACGCAACACAATACTGCAGGAGTTACCGAGTCTTAAATAATATGACATGTAACATGTAAGTATTAAAAATAATATAAACTTGTATCCCTTTTTACGAAAATTGGAGGAGTATGAAATTTCCCACACTTATAGTTCATAATATAGAGAAGGAATACAGAATGTTAATATTTTTTTTTAATTATGCATTTAATCAATAAAAAAAAACATTACACACTACCATGTATAATTAATTATTGTCGTTTCGACCACTGGGCGACCACAAGTTTTAATAAATATTTAATCGAAATAATTCTTATTATTATTCTAAAAAAGGCGAATTTTACCATTGGCCGTCTTCACGTAGTATTACACTTCATTATAGATTAGAGTATATAGGATAATAAACTGTAAGTAGCATACTTTGCTGTGAACAAACTGTTATTAGATTTATATAAACTGTAAGATTCTGTAAGTCATTAAAACCGTAAACAAAATATTAGCTATTAAGAACGTGTGACATTAAATAGAGGACAATTTGTGGTTGTGAGACTAGGGATTATGTCCCCATTACTCGGTGCAATTCTCAGGTTGGCAATGGCTATAGGCTGGTAGAGCTACGACGAACGACATGGTACTTCAGATGCTGGTGGAAATTGCTATCTGCTCTGGTCTGTTGGACCAGATGGTCAATTGGCACCGACTTCAAACCTGTCAATAGGTAGCTCACAAATAATAGTATTTTAATAATATTAAAGGTATTAGGTTAGCATAAGAGGTGTATTAAATTAAATATTTATTGAGTTATTTAATACCTTTTAGTTTTTGAACTCGGTTTTTTAAGTCGTAGTTTTTTTATATTTTCCATTTTAGTGTCTGTGATAGATAGTTCATTAAACTACAGTAGGATTTTTTTAGATTACATCAGTCAAACAATAGCATTTCGTTGCTTTTTATTGTCATATCATCATCATCATCATCATCATTTTAGCCCGTTTGAGCCCACTGCCGAACATAGGCCTCCCCCACAGACTGCCAAGAAGTACAATCCTGAGCCACCTGCATCTTTTGACTTCCCACACATTTCCACAGGTCGACACTCCATCTAGTAGGGGTCGTCCTAAACTGTGATGGCCTCTACTGGCTCCTCGTACTCGAGGCTGCCACTCGAGAAACTTTCTTCCCCAACGGTTATCGGTTCTACGAGCTATATGGCCGGCCCATGGCCACTTCAGCTTGCTAATCCTCTGAGCTATGTCACTTACCTTGGTTCTACTGCGGATGTCTTCGTTGTGAACTCTATTACGCAGAGAAATACCGAGCTTAGAGCACTCCATAGCCCGCAGAGCGACTTTGAGCTTCCTCATACGGCCAACAGTGAAGGACCACGTCGCGGTTCCGTAGGACATCACTAGCAACACACATTGATTGAAGACTTTTGTCTTCAAACATTGAGAGGTATTAGACACGAAGATATGCTGAAGTTTCCTGAACCCTGTCCATCGAGTTGAATTCGTCGATTGACCTTGCGAAGAAGAAGAATTAATGTCAATACCACGTTCTTTTCAGTTCAGAAGCTTGAAAACATCTTCCAACGCAGCGGTGTTCGGGAGCCAAGAGTTTCAGGGATATGACATAACCCTAACTTACACCCTTCTGCAGTTGGATAGGTTTTGTACTACATAAATGTACTATGACGGATATCGTAGCGTTGTTACATAAACACCTCGGCATGAGGTGCCGAGGTGTTTATGTAATACCTATTTTTTGTTGCGTATATATACCGACAGTCAATTTGGCACCGCTGAAAGGCCTCGAGTACCGCTCAAATTTGGACTGAATCGAAAGCTTTCTCATAGTCCACATACACTAAGCACTAAGGCAGATTATACTCTTCGGTATTCTGTATAATCTGCTGCAAGGTGTGTATGTAGTGTAGTACTGAAGACTTTTCGGAATCTGGTTTGTTCGGTAGGCTGGAAATCGTCAAATCTGGGAACGAGACGGACGAAGATGACTCTTGAAAATAGGACGCGGCACAGAAGGGATATCGGTCTATAGTTCTTTAAGAGAGCGTTATCGCCTTTCTGGAAGAACAGTAGCATCATCCTGAAGGACGGAATTAAAGAGCCTCTGAAGGACCACCAATAGCGCCCGCTCTCCACCCGCTTTCAGAAGCTCTACTGTAATTCCGTCCTCTCCTGATGCTTTGCCATTCTTAAGATGGTCAAGAGCCATTCTAATCTCGCTCAGACTGACGTCCGGGATATTCTCGGAATGGTGTCGGACAACGCTTTGCTATTCATGAGCTGTCTACAGAACCTCTCAATCTTACTCAAAACCTCTGACTAGTGGAGATGATAGCCCCGCTGTCAGTCTTCAACTTAGTTGGCTTCGACAGACAGACAGATCTCTGGCGAAGACTTTTGAGGCTAAGTTCCGCTCTATAGCTCTCTCAATACGAGCTGTTACGTCAGTTAGGGACTGCAGCCGCATCTCACGTCTTTTTCTCAAGAAGTGGAGAGAGTGATCGGATAGTTTTTGGGTTCTATTTGTGCGAAGGGCCTTATAAAATTTAAGGCATACATTTGTCTGTACATGGAAGATGTTTGAGAAAAAATATTATTGGGGGCCTTTATCAACGCAAAGGAACCCAAAACAAAGATTTTAAATGTTTTTGATTTTGTGCGCACTAATCACAGACACGAGTAACCGAATTGGTTTCAACATTAACTTATACATTGTAGTAAGCTTCACTTAACATTTAGCCCACCCGCATGTACTACATTTTATACCGTGCTTAAAATTGTGAATAAATGAGCTTTCTAACAGTGCAAGAATTTTTCAAATCGGAACAGTAGTCCCTGAGATTAGCGAGTTCAAACAAACAGTTTGGTAGTATGTGTGTGGACGTGAATGTCTTATTAGCGGTGGCAAATAAATAAGTAAGCACGGCTATAAGTATATAATGTTTATTCCACTGCACACGAACCAATTTACAATTGGAAGGAGAAAAGTACAGAAGCGGAAAGATAATGAGGCACAGAATAAAGGACAAAACAGAAGAGACGAAAAATAAGCTAAGCACAGTAAAACAGTCTAATAACAGCGATAAGCGTAAGCAATCTAGCACTCGCGTCAACTCGATATATGCAGTCGTTAGGTTAGGCGGCGTGCGCTTCGCGTGGAGTAGTTTTGTAATTGACTCGAACGACCGCGGGTCAGCTGCGCCGAGGCATCGCGAAACATACCGTTATTTTTTGGCGCGGTGTAGTGACGCGGTGCAGGTCGATAATTGCTATCGATACTGAGCTTGTCGATACTTTATGAAAATTGATGTCTAATATAAACTATAAATGTTTTTAATGATAAATATAAATAGTGTAAATGTTGTTAAATACTTATGTTATGAATGTGTTATTGTAAATCAAAAAGTGTAAAGGTACGCCACAAACTGTTCAGTTTTATAATATTGGTTTTTTATAATATTATATGGGGCTAACATACAACAGAGATGACCGTTTTTATAGATAATCGTACGGAAACCTTCATGCTCGAGTCCGACTTGCACTTGGTTGGTTTTTTTTTGTACATATGAATGGGCTAACTTTTGATAACTTTAACTTGCTGAGACGTTATTTATAAAAATCCGTTGTTGCGGTTCAAATTTAATATCGTCATGGCGAGTTTTCTTTCGTTTCCCTAATATTCCCAGGACAAGCAAGCCCATTCGTGTAATAGCAGAAGCTAATGTGTAGCTCCAGCACATCTGTTTTTTTGTGTTTCTGTTTTTCATTCATAATAATTTTATGTAGTGTACGTTTCTACTTAATAAGAACTTTTAACCCGATTAATATCGACAACTTCATTGTAACCTGTATCAGATTGCTCAAGCAACCAGCAGTCACGTTGATATTAGACTTTAAATCTTGTTGAAATTGAAATTTTGTTGAGTTGAAATAAAACCTGTTATTTTCTTCGTGTGATTACTTACATAGTATTTCGATAATTATAAATAAAACACCATCTTAAGTATATTTCAATTATTAATTTAACAATTTTCCTGAATACACATCGGAAATGTACTTCATCAACATCAACATCAACTATTTCATTATAAACCATCACTTTCGTTAAGGCTGGATTTTAAGAGTTATGATTTTAAGATAATCGAAGAGAAGATACATATTGGATGATTAGCATACAAAATCAAATATTATTCTCATGTATTGATTTATAGTACAGTATAAATTGTATGATTAAATTCTTCGTGTAGAGGAAACCATAAAATTCGGCTTTTCACAATATTTCTCAATGCTTTATAATCTTATTATATACAAATATTTCTTACTTTATAATTATAAATAGATAAACTAGCTCTTATTATTCGTACTCTAACTTTTTTTTAGCATCAATAAATCTAGAGGGTATCAGTAGTGTCAGTTGTAGTTACTCTTAACTTGGAAGTAAACGTATATTCCGCTTAACAAATACTTAGAACTTTAATAGCAATGATGTGTTGAATTAATTTTGGTCCATTTTAAAATCAAAATGATTTAAAAAAATTACAATGTTTAGAGTATTATTTTACACTTAAATTTATTACTATTTAGTGTTTATACATCATGTGATTACATACCTATCTCAGTTGACTTACAGTAGTAGAAATAATTATTTTAAATTATTTGGCATATTTTTTATTGAATATGAATACGAAACAATCGAATTCTTACTAATACATGTATACACATATTCCTTGAATTTCAGCACAATTACCGCCAAAGATCTTGAAACAGTGTTTAGCTTAAAAACAATAAGAAAAATAAAAACAGTACTGCCTTATTGTAAGTTTTCAAATAGAATGATCCATTATACGATGTATCGTGATGGACAGCTGCTTGATTTTCTCCTGGAAGAAATATTTTAATTCAGTAAGAGTATGTACATAAATAAGTTGAAGGTAAATCCTTTACATAAAAATAGGGAATTATTAAAAATGCTTATTTTTATTAAATTAAGAACATTTTTTGTAGAAAGTTTAGTAAGTGTTTGTCGATTGACATAAAGCATTGGTTTTTAATAATTTCATTTATTAAAATTAAATCCAATAAGACGAACATGATATCGCGCCCTTGTGGCGATGTTTTGTTTCTCAGTCTGCGTTTGATTTTTGCGAACGAGACGCAGAAATAAACGTTGTGTCCTAGAGCGGAAGTTCCAAGTTAGTTCCAAGCTATTTAATGAGGTTCGTGTTCTTAAAAAAATATTTTTCTTAAAGAGTTCTTAAAGCCACATGAAAAACAAGATAACGAGCATAATTATAACGATAATTGTTAGTAAATAATATATATGACGATAATTATTCCATGGATCAATCGGAATCGCATTTGGAACTCTTAAACGTTCTAGATGGCAGTGGTTTAGATTATATAAACTCAATGTGCGTATAATTACACATCTGGATTAACAGATATAAAATTAATTAAATAATAAAGTTGCAAGTTTCTATTCTCCTTGACATCATAAACACGCCATTGTAACACATCTAAGACTATACATACAAAGGAACTATTAACAAAATGCTCCGGATTTTGAGTTGCCCTCTGCACAAGTACTTCCGAAAAGTAAAGGTCTTGTTGATAAATTGAAGGAATCGTATGCGGAGATTTCAAAAAGATCTGTCATCAGAAATCTTACAGCTAGTTTGTGATCACTGCGCAGAATTTGCAGAAATGCAGCAGGACTTGTAACGTTAAAGACTTCGACGCTCGGGTGATTCCTCCTACTAACACGAATATTTAAAGTACCGAAATTCATAGCTATAATTGAGAAAGCCCAAATGGCTTCGAAAATGTTTATGGCCTCCAAAAAGACTTTACGTCTCACAAACGGCTATAAAAACGAAGCTGGATGAGAAAAGAAGACAAGACAAGTTTCGAGCGACGTCTCCCACCGACCCACGAGTTGTGTCCAAGATGTTTAAACTTTTGGACATGTTTCGAGCTCCTCACGTTCGGAAATTTGAAGCCAGATTAGGAATTAATGAATGTTGGCATAGGAAAAACACTTTTTATAAATACTATTTGCGACCTATATGATGTATTCGCGTGCTACGAAATCTATAATTCCAATTTTGCATATATTCATAATGTAACACATAAATTTATGTTCGTGTTAGAATTAGTTATTAATTCACCAGGCAATAATAAACGTATCTCAAGAAGAATAAGCTTCGAATAACGGTCAGTTTAAATAAATAGAAGCGTTAACCTTATATTAATTTAGGTAATTAAATATATATTATATATTTGAAGATAAGGTTTAACTTCAGCCTGATATGACTTTTGATTCAATGGCTTAAACAGCGAAGTGACAATTCAAAAGAATACGGAGATATTTCGAAAGAGATGGCAACAGTAAAGCGGGAGAAAATGGTGCCTATTAATGTAGAATAAGCTTAAGGTAAGTACTGTAATATTAATTAATTGGAGGTACATTAAATGCTTTCCTTTTTACACTCACTTGAATTTATTATGTAATTGACAAGAAAAATTATTTGTTAAACTTTAAATCATTGATGACTTACTAAAACTTTAATAACTATTTAATTCTCTTATAAATTGTGTATACTTTTCCATAAATCCTACGATACTATAGATAGTATACCACCTGCACTACTGATAAATAATGGACGTCATGCGCCGTCTGGGAAATTTGAGGCGATGAGCCGAGCAACAATAGAGCACTTCCCCTGCTTCATCACTTCAAACATCTAAAAGTTGACTTCAGCATCTTTATTAAATATAAAACAATGAAATGTGTTTCTTACCAATCAAGACGTGAACGTTCGTGGTAACTTGCGAATATTTGTTCAACTGGCATGTGTAGAATCCACTATCTTCTTGAGATGCAGACGTGACTGTTATAGTAGAACTAAAATAAAGTTATTCATTTTAAATAAACGTAATATGCATTGAATATAAAAACGTCATGGTCTGTTGTTACAGTTACAGATAATAAAGAGTGCATTTATTCCCCTACCAATTGGTTTTATAATGTAAATTATATTTACATTATAAAACCAATTGGTAGGGGAATAAATTATAATGTAAATTATATTTACATTATAAAACCAATCATATTTTTCGCATAGTTGAATTTTTTTTATGTGGAAGGCGCCAAGCTGACGCTTCACCTGAGCTAAGTGATAAGCAGTTCACCTAATGCTAAGTGATAACCGCCCATGGACATTTGTAACACCTGTACGGTTGCAATTGCCACCTTTTAATAAAGTGGGCCCCGACTACCTCACTCACCAGATGAAACGCAGGAGTATAAAACTTCTACTTTACGCCGGTCTTCTGTGAGGTTGTGGTACTTCCCCGGACGGACCTGCCCATTCGTGGAACAGCGAACTGTTGCGTGGTACTATCACAGGCCCACCTACAAGAGATTCATTATTATTGTATGGAGTTATATGTGTGTATGAGTGATTATTTAAAATGATATTTAAAATTATTTTTATATAAAAAATACACAAAAACAATGGTGTAAAATGTTGATATTTTTAGTTTAAGTAAGGCAGTAAGGATTAAGTTTATTTTTTACAATTCTAGTCTCTACACTCAGTAAGTCAAATGGTATTTTTTGTACATAAATTCTCTTTCTGGTAGTGTGAACATGGTCTATTTACAACGTGTTGCAAATGACATCACATTAATTTAAACAGCGAGTTATATTAATGGGTATACGTGAACATAAAACATTTATTTTTGTAGAATTTTAAAATTAATTCTCCGAAAAAATTAATTTAATGAAATAAACAAAAATTGAGATTGGCATTATAATAAGTGCCTACTTTAAATAAATGTGACCTATTGAAAACGGCAACATTCTAAATACGCCACCATGCGACAGCGCGTCGATGAAAGTTTGCAGCGATATCGGGCCAAACGCAATAAATTTTCGTAAGCGACCGATTCGAGAGATATGGCTGGCACTTAAATCGCAGTTTTGATCTAATTGCTTAAACCAGCTAGATTCAACTTTCCATTGCAGAACATGCCGAGGATCGAACCTCCATCCAACCCCTTGGATTGTTTTTAATCGACTGACTATGTTTCGTAAGCAGGTTTCGTGAGGATACAGTGGCGTAGATTGCATGTCCGTATTGTCGTCGTCGTGCACCAGTTTCTTTATAACTCGACTGTAATACACAAAAAGAAAAAGCTTCGAATAAAGTGTGTCAGCGCTTTTTTAATCAATTGACTCCGCTAACCAATTGACCGTATCTAAGTCCCCTACCTCGACCGGGTCGATTAGGACGTTTCGCGGGCGACGCTTGTTGACGTTCGCGTTTGTGTCGGGTTGGTAATTTGCTGCGCTTACCACCAGAGGGTTGGAATGATCTTCGGCTCTATCGAGAAACCGTTTGGTCAGGTCTTTAAAATATTCGCGAATCGTCGGGATTCTGCAATCGCTGTGCAGGTCGACGTTGCGTTAATACCACTGCGCACCGGGTGCGCGGCGGATGAACTTATTTAGATCAATAAGCCCGTTAGTTATCGCCCTATCAGTCTCCGCAATTGCTTGGGGAAGCTCTACGAACGGCTCATTTTAAACAGACTTAATCACGCCAAGCACATAAGCGCGGGGGCTCTCTTTTTCGATGTTGCAAAGGCGTTCGACAAGGTCTGGCATGATTAAACAACCAGTTCGCACTCAACTTGCCAGACAGGCTCGTGCACACCATCCGAGCCTTCCTATCGAATCGCTCTTTTCGATAGCGAGTAGAGGGTACCCACTCTACGACCTGCCCTCTCACGGTGGGCGTTCCTCAAGGCTCCTGCATCGCACGCACGTCAATTACGCAGTTAGTGCAACAACAAACAACATAGTTTGTCCACGCTTTCGAGCACAGCAAAACCAACACAACGCGTATACAAGGTACACCCGCGTTCCAGCGCGGTTCTCGCCCCAAGCCTCCCGACTAACCAAGCACAGTCAAAGGCTACCGGGGTCACGATCCGCACCGAACCTCGATGGCCCGTAGGCGACACGCCATAATTTACGCACGTATAAACACATGAGGTTAAACGGAATATATTTAGTGAATGTGTCTTTTGTAATTTTTTAAATACTGAATACTTGCCTGATATTTTGCCATGATATTTGTCTAACAATTTCTTTTCCTTCCTTTATCCATACCAGTCCAAAAATGTTATTAATTGCCTCTGCAGGTTTTGTAGTAGTTACTTTTTGAGTAGTTTTTTGAATTTCCGGCGTTGGTCTCGTTATTTTGACTGTTGATTTTGTGGTTGGTGTGGCAATACTCCAACTTTCGTTTAACATTATTTCTAAACTATTGCGTACAGTAGTCATTTCAGTTACTATTTCTGTAGTCGATGTCATAGAAGTAGTAACAGGAGTTGTGGATGCTCTATCTGGCATTTGAGTAGTTAAAGACAATACGTAGTCTTCGGAAATAGCACAGGTCAACTTTATGGAGCTACCTGCCTTATAAAATCTATCTTTGATAACGTGCATTTTGTCGCCATTTATCGTTAGTACTGGCGCTGTAAGGTAAGACATGTATTATTATTTTATATTAAGCCATAATTTTTTTATTAAATGAAACGACATAGAAATTAATCTACTTACGTAAAACTGTTAAATTTGCATATATCGTCCGAGGTGGATGTGTCGATATCTGACACATGTATAAACCTTCATCAGATTTTCTTAAAGGATTTATACTAATACGCCAATTATTTGGGTATTGGAATTTTACAGATATTCGACTATCACCAGCATGTGCCTCTTTTCCAACAGTTAGTAATTGTGCAGCGTCAGTTGTGTTGCGAAGCCACATAACCTAGATGTTAGATTTAAATATAAACCAAAACACACAATTATTTTATAACACGTTAGTATGTTATACTTTATGAAAATAGATTTATATAAAATAGAAAAATTTTTTATGGATTGAAATGATATATTGAAATTAACAAATATTTTTTAAACGAATACTATTTCAACTTTTTATTTCAATAATTGGCGACACATTTTTTATTGCATTTTTTGATAAATGAGAAATAATAATTAAATCTAAAACTCTTAAGAATAGGAATAATAAATTACCGTCTTATCTTTTAACATAACAATTCTGCAATTTAATAAGGCCTCCGAACCAACATGTGCCACCATTTGTGTGACATTGTTCTCCTCAAAATATGGTCCCCAATGTTGCTCGTGATGATGATACCCTTGATATGGGGCCACATTACGTTGCTCATCCGTCTTCGCTGCAAAGTGATACTACTATTGAGATAAAAAATATTTATTGTTCTCATCAAAATGAGTCTATTGAGCGACGATTTAAGATCCTAATAGAAGCCTTAGAATGTGGTAAAGAAAAAATTGCGCAAATATCAGAATACGATATAGTAATTCATAAAATACTCGTAATAAAATCCAATATCTACCTCATTTCAAATCACTTACATAATTTCGGCTAATCGTGAAAATATGAGTGAAGTGGTTTACCTCGCATTTTATGTTGACGTGAATCAGTAATCACTTCACTTTTGAAATTTTCCCGTAATTTCTTAGTAATGTTTCTAAATATTTCTCTGGAAATGGCAAGACCATCTTTTTCTCCACTTCTACGCTCACGAATGTTTGCTGTTGTTTGCTGAGTATCTAAAATAGAATAATATATTTTAAAACAAGTCTATCGTATATTTGTAACGTAATAATTTTTTTTGCTGATTTTCAAATTTTAAAATTCAGCTATATCTTGAATTAAAGTCAAATGGGTGTCTGCAATACAAATTTTACAAAATACGGCACCTTACCTGTCGATCTTTGTATGCAGCATAAGATTAAACACATGAGGTTGAGCCTGCTGCGATGCATGTTAAACGACACATAACAATCTTTATGTCATTACTTCTTCAGTTTGTTCAGTTTTTATTTTTAGTTTCTATTTTATACATAAAGGCAATTCCAATCATTGATAATAAATAACGCCCCTGATTTCTTTCTCCAGCATGGAACGCTCCGATACTCTGTAGAGTTACAATTAATATTGTTGTTATTTTGTTTACAAAGGTTTAGTACGAGAAATAAAGTTTGTCGAACGTTTGCACATTTAGGTTAAACATATGTATGCACAAGTTATAACCCGCCCATAAAAGAAAAAAGCTATCGCTGATTGTTATATACGTTAGATAAAATAAGCCTAAGTAAAGGTGTTGTGTGTATTGTCCATAAATAATAATATGCCCTACTGATTAGAAGAGGTTTCCTCTTTACACGTGGTATTTACAAATAGTGTGCTACACTGCGTCTGTTCGTGACATAATGCATTTACATTAAATTTTATCACTTTTCAGATACCTAAAAAGATTTTCTAATTACAATTTTCTTTTTCTAAACATAATATTATGTGTATCTGCTCATAAAACTACAACAATTCGGACATTGGGTGTAACATTTAAATTCAAGTTCATTCAAATAAATAAATACCGTCATTTCACATCTTTCGCCGACTACACTCATACTTTTGGGTATACCGCTATTTCCATAAACAGTGTTTAACCATTTCCCAGACATTTCTCAGTCTTTAACTGACTTGCACTAAATTTTTTTTTAATCAGTGGTGCTATCAATTCTTATACTAGTGATGTGCGAGTCGAGTTATTTGATTCAAACCGTAAACGAGTCAACTCGGGTTCAGTTTGCAACTCGAATCAACTCGGTCGACCGAACGCAAACCGGAAGTTATACGCGGGACCTGACTAGTTGTGTCACATACAGCTCACAAACTCACGCACGACGTTCGTTAGGTGTTACATCTCACTCTCATTGAGTTGAGTGAGTTGCATCACCTAACCTAACGAACTGACCTTTTTGATTTGTTAGTGTTAGTTTGTTATAAAAACAGAACCTTTTTTGTTTGTAGTCGATTGCTAATCGACTACACCATACTAACCATATCGCATTAAGATTCATCATTATTATTACCTATCTATTAGCCTCGAGTCGAGCTGTCTTGTACACCGCGAGTCGGCCGAGTCCCCACTCTCTCCCTACGGCAGACATCGAGTCGAGTCATCTCGAGTCGAAAAACAATCCAACTCGTCACATCACTGTCTTATACCTAGTGGTTAAGCATTGAACATTCAATCACAACAACGTGTACAGCGAGTTTTTCGTCTAACAGATTTTTTTACCCGTCCAAATCTGTGCATCACACTGACACACTGTTAAACTAATAAATATTATAATCTTAGTGAAATATAAATAATATTAATATTATGGATAGTCTAAGTTTTAAGGAAAAGACAATATTGCACAACATCCTCAAAGAAACGACCGCTGTAGACGATGTTAAAGGATTTACTGCCGAAAATTGCTTTAAACTTTTAATACTCGTAATAGTGGTGAGCAACTAAATAGTACTTAGTTGTCGATTTAAGATGGCGTTGGTAAAATTGTTGGCTTCCTTACTTATTGACTAAAAACAGCCTTGTGAACTAACTAATGCTTTTAACCAGTTATCGCTTTTTAAACATGCATGAAGCATGTTGTTAATATTTTTATACTAATAAAAAAATTGAAATGTTGTGGAATACAGCTTGAGAGAAATTTACTGTTTATACGATGCCGAATTAAAAATGAATGTTTTTAAAATATAGTATTTAATTCAAAACGGATAGCGCTATATCTCGATTACTTTGTTCGAAGCGTATTGATTCTATGAAATTATTAATGTTTTTTTTAAAATGAGAAGATAAATTGACAAACACTTCTCCGTCATAGAATTAGAACCTCCACTTTATAGGCAGAATTTTGTGTCATTGAAAAAGATGGAATTATACTGTCTCAGACTTCTAAATTAAAATGTATAAAATATTATGATAATGGAACAAACTTCTTTACTTTTTACAAATTTTTCTTTTCGCCTCGTACTATTATATAAAACGATTACATATAAGGCAGGACGAAGTACACTTGCTACTTTAAATTTATGGATGAAGTATTGAAGTTTTGCGGTAAGTTATTCTGAGGATACAAGTTATATCCGCACATTATTTATATGTATTGATGTGCGAATATTCAGAACATTTTAAAATATTGTAACGAACACATAAAGAAACTAAGGCCATCTAGCGTCAACCAGTAAACCGCTCAACGAACAAAGACAACATAAAATCCCCTATTCAATACTAGATGGCGCTAGAGGAACTACTGTGGAACTATAGTCTCGAAAACCGGCTACATTCGCGAACTTTACAGAATCACGAACATGTTCGTGCGTGTCGGGTACGTTCCAGGAAGGAACTTTCTGGATTAGTCTGGGGCTCGTCTCGGCACATATAAAAAGCCGCAGAGAGGCGAGCCAGGACAGTTCAGTTTGAGCTAACTTCGAGGCGACTTCGGAGCGAAAACTAGTGATTAAGAGCGATACCAGTGAAACCTACGACTTGGCTACAATCTAGGACATCGTCAGTGCTTAGTGTTTGGACATAGTGCTTTGTGTTGGACCTAGTGCTAGTGAATAAAATCTTCAAAAGAGTCAGCAGGTCTTTCTCTCCAAATCCTTCGAACCCTAACACGGAACAATACCTTTATCCATCCTTTATTTTAAACAAATCAATATGCTACATCAATTTTTATTAACATTAATGAACCTCTGTGCCATTAGTACAAAGTAATTAATTGTATAATATACCGTATAATAATAACCCAAGTTAGTAAACATTGTGAAAAACTTTGGCATGGTCAATTATTTTCTGGAACTTAAATTTGTTTGAGAAATACAAGAAACGTCTATTAATGCATTTTGGCACTCTATTTTGATATGGCCAAAATACACACTACTTTTAACACTCATTTCAGTATATACTGAAATGAGTGTTAATAGTTGTGGAGTAGGGTAAGGGTAGCAACGCTCTATGATAGACGTTAGTTATTAACTGATCAATACAGAACTCCAAATGGAGTTGAATAAATTTCAAATGGGAACGGAAAAACAGTCGGGCAGGGGTGAGGTTTATATCGTGTGAAGAAACGGATATTTATTTATTTTTAAAAATATATTGTATTGTTAATAATTTTATTGTCAATAAAAGTAAATTCCACGCAGATATCCTTTCGACATATGTATATAAACTATACACATCTCACTGCGGGGCAAATGCTTCCTCTTCACAGAGGGTATTAGGGCGAATATTGAAAATATGCAGATTTCCTCAGGATGTTTTCTTTCACAGCAGAGCACGTGATTAGTCAGCACTTAAAACAAATTCATTGTTGTTGACAGCCGGATTTAAACTCAGGTTGCTAGAGTATATTAAATTAAAAGCCAACGCTCGGACACTGACCTATAAAATAGGATTATTCTAAAACATGACCTTACATGCCATATAAAATAAATAATTAAACAAAAATATTCTATTTTTCATTTCGTAAATTTATTCACAAGTCATACGTGGAAATCTGTCCAGGGGAGTAAGCTGTAGAGCGTACCAAAGAATTAGACAATCAAAACTCTTGATACATATGATATGTCCTAAACGGCCTATATATATATATATATACACATATATATATATAAAGATAAATAGCCTGAAAAACACCTTCAAACATCATCCAAGAATAGTCTATTATATTTATTTAATAGACTATTCTTGGATGATAATAATACACAATGCCTCCAATAAATCTGCAAGAAATAGAAGTTTTGTTGATATTCATGTTTAAATATAAATGATTATATATTCTGGATTTATGTAAGATTACAGAGAAGGAATGTAAGATGCTGCTTTTATTAAAATGGCCTTCAATATTTCCACGAGATTACACTATTCCATGACTTGACTTGTTATTGAAGTTACGATTAAAGTTGGTATTAAAAGGAATAAAAATCTTAATTTAGTATTAATGATATTGATGAAATGAAGAATTATATTCAAATCTATTACTAATGGCAAATCTCATATGTGGTCATAATGGTCATAATGGTCGGGCATTACCGAAAATGCTTATATATATATATATACATATTATATAAAAACTCGATATATCATTTAATTTTTTTATGTGAGAAGGTGGTAAGCAAGCTAGCCGTTCGTCTGATGTTAAGTGATAACCGCCTCCCACGGACATTCACAAAACCCGTAGATGCACTTCACGCTGGTTTTATGTAAGGTCGCGCTACTTACCCGGATGGAACTACCCATTTGTGCAACAGCCGAAGCTGTTGTGTGGTCCTACCACAGAAAAAAATTAAACGGCAACACTCGAATATAAAACTTCAGGCCTTCCCAAAAAAAAGAATTAAAATCTAAATATCATTAAATTTTTGGGCTAATAAACAAGCCATGTCGATTGCCATATTAACGAGCCCCATCTCAGGTCTTTTTATTTAATTTTTTTTTAATTCTTAATGACATCTTTCAGACCTATGTGGTAATACTTAAAATCGGGAATAAAAATATTAAGATATTTATGTATTTATCCAGATATGTTGCTGCCTCTGTGGGTCAATGTTGCAAGTGTCTAGTACTTTCAAAAGGAGTATTTGTGAATACATTTAGAAACACATTTACGTCGTGTGATGTATTCTAATGAGGGTAACTCCAGCAGCTAGGCACTCGTATATATAAAAACAATTTCGCTTTTGATAAATTAGAAAATCAATAACTTCGGTCCACGTATAAATCAATATAGTTTACGTAAGGGACGGAGTCGTTTTGATTTTAATGAAGCATTTGGAAACGAACGAACGAAGGAGGAAGTGAACACTGTCCGTGTTTTAATGAATACTTGAAAAATCAAAGTTAGACTTTAAGCAAAAGGTTTAAAGCAAAACTTTGGCCTCAAAGCGAACTTTAATCTTCGAAACATCGAGCTTGTTGTTTGTGAAAATAAAGTGTTAGCACAAATGACCCCATAATATGGCGGGTAGTATAAGTTAAATATTGTTGTTGCTATTAATTTTTGTAAAAATTCAAAATATTATGATATTTGTTAAGAATGGAGTAAATTATTTGACAAAATT